AGAAGATTGTGCATTCCTCATTACCATTCAGCTTAAAGAACTCCATGCCAACTCATGGCAGTTCACCCCATGCCAACCCGTGGTGTTTCACCCCATGCCAACCCATGGTGTTTCACCCCATGCCAACCCGTGGTGTTTCACCCCATGCCAACCCGTGGTGTTTCACCCCATGCTAACCCGTGGTGTTTCACCCCATGCCAAACCATGGTGTTTCACCCCAGTACATGAACATGTACATATACATGTACTTGTATGTGTGTATTCCGTTGCAAAAAAAGAAAGTAACTCATTCATTCATTCATTCACTTCATCTTTATCGTGGCACAACAAGCCAAGTTACAAGAATGTAGCAAAATATAATTAAAAAACATGTAAAATATATTAAAAGAACATAACAGCAAAGCACATCGCTGTAGTTTATCATGAGCATAAAATCCCTGATCAGATGGGGATGTACATAACATTCCCCCTTTTGGATGGGATGTTGATTAATAACTCAACAGCTCCACGTTTTTTTAGAGCATTGGAGAAAACGGTTTTGAGAAATTTTGTTGGACTTCCTCGGTAGGGGCGGATCTCTTATTTTTTGAATTGGGGGACATATTCCTTCTTTTCCAATAAAGCAGCTATGGTATATTTCCCTTACGTAGTGTTCTCAATGCATACAAACTTACTAAAAAAACTTACATTGTACATATAAAGTCCGGATGTAAATTCTGCCTGAATTTACTTTAATGTCCATCACACATCTACATTGATACCATGAACATCAACCCCCCCTCTTTCATTTGTCATTGCTGACCAAGTCCTCTTTGACCATTTTTTTCCAAAACAATCTAGGCGTTTCTTTAGACACTTCCATGTAAATGTGTAAAGAGTGTACAATTATCTTTGTAATTCCCTTAATCATCCACATTTATTTCCAATTATAACTTGTATATCTTGTTGGTTAAACATTCCAACCACCTCTCGGATTTTGGTGCACAAAGCTCCCACCGATCTTTTTTATGTTTTCATCAATCATGAAGGAACTGTCAACGAAAATAGCAAAAAGATGACAAATGTGGAAAGTGATGTTGAGGTTTCTTATTGACTGATTAAATAATAGTAGTTTTGGAAAGAATCCTAACTGAACAGCACAGTTTCAGGTTGAAATAAACTGAATACATACATACTACTTCTTCACACACATTACACGTTAATACAACTTACATAAATATTTAAACTGTGAAGATTTCTCTAATAATGCAACAAGTCTTATCTTAATCATCATTTAAAATAAGATCAATTTCAAAAAGGTAAGTCATTTTGCTTGTTCAATCCATCTTTCTCTATTTTTACTGTTAGGTGGTTACAGTAAAACTGGACGTGCCCACTCAAATCATTGAAGTGGGCCGCCTCACAGTTGAATAGACTGGAGAAACCATGGTTAAATGGTATTGTTTGTAAATGTCAAATTCATTTACAAAGGGGTAACCAAAACTTACTTTCTGCATAGGCCACTGAGAAGTTAGATCTCGCATCCACATCTGAATGACATCTAAGATTGTTTGTTTTGTTTGTTTTTTTGGGGGGTTGGAATATCAGGGTAGCTCATATTCGTACTACATACATATAACCCTAAGTTGGAGTCCACTTTACTTTCCATGTCATGTGGCTCTTATTTCATACCACATGTGCGGCATTCGAAAACATTTCTGCAGCCTGAGCTGTAGTCATCTCCACTCCAACGCATATCTGATGATACCATCTCCCACAAGACGAACACTCAAGCAAAACAAACACTCAATCCTCTCTACCACTATGAGCTGAATGTATTTCCTATCAAAACTCAATCTTATATTCGGCAGTCTAAATCAAGCGCATGGTCATATTAACAGATTTGCCAAAGTTTGTAATTGGGAGGTGTAACATAAATTCTTTCTGAACTTAATTTCGTACGTTACAATGATTTGTGAATAAAAGTCTTACACTTTTTAAGCTATGATACATGTGTGTTTAACATTTAGTACTTTTGAGGTTGACAGTTTGAATATTCATGCTGCAAAACTCAAAAGGATCATTTCACAATGTGCGATAAACTGCTTTGTATTTACATAAACTCATAAGATTGGTGAAGCATTTCAATAAAGAAAAAATAGCAGAGTCGCTCTTAACTTGTAATTTTTCTCGAAGCAATGAGTGGGGTCAAGTTCTTTCATTTTTTGAACATGTGGGGTAAACATCAAATTTGGAACATTCACATCGGTATGTTTGGTTTTTTTCTTGGCTGTACCCGAATGCACTGGTAGCAAATATTCTGAAATTGAAATGTCATTGGGTATTTACATGTAGAATGAGACATACCAGTATTTGGGATTTTTGCATCAGCAAGCACTTGTATTAGTCAGTCCTCCGTACACGTATGTCATCAGAATTATTATTTGGGGCCACAGTTAAGTATATTTGCGATCTACAATAACAACAATATATCGTGCTTGAGACACACAATGTCCACAAGGTCATTAGCACTTTGTATTTTTGTCTAATTCATAGTTTCACTTGACAATGACAATAAGTTGTCATAATGAGACTACATGTATTTGCACATGGGACATCTGAGTGAGCGGAGGTGTGCCATTCATTAACCACTTCCTGACGGGTGACCTGTTTTCGAGTACCTAGGTTTTATACACAAAGCCAGGAGCCCAAAACCCCCTGCTGGGAATTACTGACATTTTTTCACTCTCAATAGTGGAGATAATCCAGCCTTGTTTTGAAACCATATAGGATGGTTTGAGGCATTTAGAGGGAGCAGATTACCAACAGGGACAAAAGCTCTCTACCACTGCAGCTATGAGCCACACAGCACCACTGCACGCTAATCTGGTTTCGGGAACAAAAGAATAGTAAATAACACCACACAATCTGGGCTCTTTTTATGAGGCTGCAGTCCTGGCTGAAAAACTTGGGTGTCAATGAAGGCCACCTGTCAACTTAGAGTAGTGCCCAAAAAGTCCTTCCTTTGTGTTTCAACATCTGTTAAATGAACTGATGAATTTTTGAAGAATTTTGAAAACTACAAATCTTGAAAATTTTTCAAAGCACCCAGCAGCAAGTGGTTAATGACACATAACCAACAGAGCATCCAATGGGTTGAACATTATTGGTTTTTAACACTATGAGCCAAGTGCACAAAAATGTAAATGCAGCCCTTGTCTTATGGGAACAATGCAAGTAACAAAGGTAGGGGTGAAATCAATCTACACTACTCAGAAAAAGTTAAGGACCACTTTTTTCTTAACTTGTAATTTTTCTCGAAGCATTGAGTGGGGTCTAGTTCTTTCATTTTTCGAGATGGTGTTCTCATTGGAAGAAAGCATTTGAAAAATGTTTCAAAACAAATCAAATGCACATTTTCAGCAGTAAAATATCTCTTATAAAAAACACAAAACAAAAGTGGTCCTTATTCTTTTTTGAGTAGTGTATGTCAACTGCAAAAAAAATTGTAGAAAAGAAAAAAAAGCCTTCATTAGCTTGTTATAGGTCTGAAGACAAATGACACTGCTATCAATTAGGATGCTTCCATATTTGTTTCAACAGAAAAAAAATCAGAGAAAACAAGTTTTCCTTTGAGTTGCTCTTTAATATCGAACTGAAAATGTTGCACAAACAATATATGTTGTCTAGAAATGTTCTTTTCCATGGGTGCCAACTGCAATTGTTTCCTACTCCCTTAACTTCCTTAACTTTGTTGGCAAGGGACTGACACAACAGGACACTGGAGGCTGATAGGAACCTCTTCAAAGTGTATTATAGTGTGTCCTACTTATTGGGCCCTGACGCTTGCACAGATACACACGGGCCCGTGTGGGTAGCCACAAATCGCCGTTCCGGTCAAGAATTCTTGGTTTTATTTCTTTCGACGTCAACAACACTGTTTTTCATACAAAGCTCGAGACACGAGGTGTCTTGGCGGGGACTGCACAGGCGCGAGGCGGGAAAACCACAGGCCGTTCGCATACCAGCGGGGGCAGCCAGCTAGCCCCATGCGGGTCCGAGCTGGCACCCCCACCGGCCGGATCCGCCGGCACTACAGTATTCTATACGGGAAAACAAATTGGTAACATATGGCAACATTAAGAAAAAATTAAAAGAGCAGCTATTTTAACCACCTGGAACAACCATGTAGACACACGATGGGTTTAAATGTACAGTATATGTATAGCACAAAAATTATTCTCGGCTTATCAATGTTAATAGTCAACTACATGTACATGCATGTACACATATTTTGTTACTTTGATTTGTGTTTTACTTTTTCTAAAACAAGAAGTGAACTGTTAATCAATCACCTATTGTCTTATGAGACTCACCGAATTACAAATATGGCTAAACTGCTCAGATATGTGGACACTACAATTTGGAGAAGTTATCCAAAACAATGTAAGCAAGAAGATTTGAGAAGGAATATTGAAACTTTCTTTCAGGCACAAAACATCTTTTCATGGTCTTACCAAGAAGACGTACCGAGAAGAGCTTTCACTCTTGCAGGGTCAAGAGCTTTCTTTGGGTCCTTGTCCTTATGGGCATTGCTCCTCTTCCCTGTCAAGCTCTTGCCTATCACCTCATCCCTACTGATGAAGAGGGCAGCAAACGGGTCCCTGGCCAACTTTGTCACAGTGTCGCTACCCTGCAAAATGGTCAGTAGTTGACCCTTGTCCAAGAGGACACCATGCCCAATGTGAACCTGAAATATTGTGCAAGATTGGGGAAAAGCATAATGCAAATGCAAATGAGAGAACATTTGCATTGTTAGAGTGGGAGACCTGAAAGTTATGAAAATTCATTAGTCTCATAATGGTATGATCTCTTGATTCTACCTTGCTTTTACTGCTTGGCTTCTTGACTGGAGTAGAGTCAGAGAAGGATGAGTCCCCGTCATTTTTCTCTGAAGCCAAAGTAGCATTACTACACTGCCTTCAGTTTGTCCACAACAGTCTGAAATAAATCACCACTTAATAAATTAAATATTCGAGCATTGTTTTACAAATGAGCTATCGTTTCCTGTTCTAAAAGGAAATGCATTTCACCTGAGCATACATGTGTTTAGTAAGCAAACAGCAACATGAAATAAGTTAAAGTTTTTTTTATATTGTAAACTGAGTGAACCAACAGGGACTTGACATACAGAAAAAGAAATCAGAGCCATGCTCCGAATAGGGTGTTCTATGTAGTGCTTTTGATGGCTCTTTCTGTAGAGTTAGGTTTTGATACTCTTAAAAATACACATGAATATGTACATTGTACATGAAAAATTAGGTTAGGCTTGCTACATGTATATTTTCTGAAATTAGGCCTACCTTTGAATTTAGACAGCTCAGCCACCTTTGCTGACAGCCCTGTCCTCTCAGCTTTCAACTCTCTATACTTTGCTCGAAGGCTGTCATACTTGGCACACCTGCAAGCTGGTTCATGATGTGCAGGTGCCTCCTCCTGTTTATGAGATTGTCTCGTCTGCATTTCATCCAAAATGGCATGGTTTGCCACAGGAGCTTTGTGCTTCTTCTTAGGTGGCTGTAAAGGCAAACAACATGGAAAACATGAAGTGTACATGCATATAGCTCAACAGCATCCACTTTGATTATTTCAAATGATTGCTTGATTACAATTTCTGTGTGTCATGCTACATTTTGCACCAGATTCCCCCTTTTTTGCAGAATGTCATGTGCTTTTCATTACAATTTAATCTGTACTTACTGCTCCATGACCACTGAACTGGGACTTTTTGCAGCCAGTCTACCTCCCATCATTTTCCATTAACTTAACTAAAAGCTAATGGGATTTTCATTCACCACCTTTGCTGAAAATTCTTATATACAAACTTTGGTCACAGTTCTATGTCTAATTGTAATCATGTTTTTCTTTTGCTGTAATGAAATCCAGGTCATTTTTCAAAATCTCAACATCAACCTGCTTTTCCTTCTCTAGTTTGCACTCTTTTGCAAACCATTTTATGCTGTCAATATTTTTATTGGTACACTTCAAAACACCAGCTAATTCTTGATTTATTCCTTAAGACTTTTAATGTCTAACTCAGATGGCTTCCCCTACCTTCTCTTACCTTGTGTTTGAAGAAATTCTCATTTGCTAGTTTTACTCCAATGACTCCTCCCACTCATTCAAACATTCACCAGAGACATTGGTGATACAAAGTACATTCCAGTATCCATGTACCTACATGTATTCCTGCACTTTTGACAATGTGCTTGTGGCATTTCCTTGCAAACAAAGGCAAAAAATTGATGTTTTAAAGCAATTGAAGCAAAAATAGTTATGTCTTGTAAAATTGATCATGAAAAATACATATACAACAGCTGTCTTAGGGCAACCGGTGCAATGAACTCTTTGACTTTGAGATATTCTTTATTTTTTACAACAATTGAAGTTTCAACGAAGTCTCGAGACAAAAGATTAAACTTATTTCTAGGCCGCACCTCATGGAGGCCTGCAGTATCCCTGCCTATAGCATCCTGTCATCACTACGGCTTTAGATCTGATATGTGGTGAAGTTTAATTGCCTCCCCGTCCAGATGTCCATCTTTCCTTTGTTGCCCAGCCATAAAAAACAGGAGAGATAAAGTTTTATGGGGGGCCGTGCCGGTACTAGTATTCAACCCGACGGGAGACCCGGTTACAGTCTATAAGGGGAGTCGTCTGGCCATGTTCGCCCCCGTGGAAGAAGGCGCAGTGATCAACCCCGAGGAGAGTTCCCAACAGGCCGGTTCAGAGCCCTGCCCTACGGAAGGTTCTGTGCGGAGCCCCGAAGGTGGTCCAGCAGGCCACGGTTGCCAGGGAGGCTCTTCTCGGAACTCAGGCGATAGTGTGCCTGCCCACCTGCAGGACCTCCTGGACCCATCTGGACGACGAGAAAAGTGAACACTTGCTAGTAGATTTCCAGGGTGCCTTCACCGGGCCAGACGGCAGGCTCGGCCAAACCGACTGGGTCCACCACCCAATCAACACAGGGACGACGCCACCCATCCGGCAACCTCCCCGGCGGCTTCCGATCCACAAGCGGTTGGAGGCCCAGAGTCAGGTGGACCAGATGCTGGCGGATGGGGTGATTGAACCATCGCACAGCCCGGTGGAGCCCGGTGGTTCAGCACCCTGGACTTGGCCAGCGGGTACTGGCAGGTCCGCATGGCGGAGGATGACAAGGAGAAGACGGCTTTCGGGACACAGAGCGGTCTCTACCAGTTCACCGTGATGCCCTTCGGTCTCTGTAACGCTCCGGCCACCTTCGAGTGTCTGATGGAGTGCGTCCTGCGGGGTCTCCAGTGGCTAGTATTACCAGCTTCAGCTACCTCGCACCGAGGCTCCAACCCCGCGGCAGCCGCCCAGCCGTGCTCTGAGAGGAGCATTCTTTCGGCTACGACGGTACCGCGAGAGGGCACCCCGATGCTACCACAAGACATGAATGAACTTCCGCCCGGCCCCCGCCAGGACCCCCCAGCCGCGAACCCACCCGGAGGGCACTCCGACTGGAACGCCTCTCCCAGTGCGTCCCCGCCGCCAGAGGGTGCCCCACGGACATCAACGATGGGTGTACTAGTGAGGGGCCGGGAGGACGTCTCCTGGCGATGCCCCGCCCCCTCCCCAGCGACTGGGGTGAAATGGTCGTGCTCCAAACGGAACCGCACCCCTTTCGCCCCATCGACCTTAGAAGGGGGAAGTCGCCTGGGGATTGCGCAGAGTTGGCTGTATTCTCCAGGGGACCTAGCCCAGGACCCCCCCCCACGCCGCGCACTCGACGCACTCGATACCCTCGAATTTCGGCCTCCCACTCCTGGATAACTGTTCCAGATTCCCCGCGAGGAACGACTCCAGCTCGCCCGCCAACCCAGGTGAGTTCCACATCGCCTTCGCGGTCTGGGCCCCGACCACGGGGCCCGTGCTGGCCTGTGCTGCCGCTGTCTAGCGAGTCCGGCACCCGACCAAAATCATCCACCAATTCCATGACACAGAAAAGGCGAAGAGTTTACCTGTTTTTCTACAGCTATCCAGCGTCTCGCCGCTGCCACCAGTTGTAGCGTGTCCCGCTGCACAGGGTTCGACGCTTTAAGAACGACACACTGGTGCAACTCACTGTTCTGGTCACAAAAATCTCTGCTTTTTGTCGCAGTACTGACAGCACCACAGTGTCCTCTTCCGACAAGCTCTTTTTTCAACATGGCGCCTGATGGCAGGGACTGCGCAGGCGCGAGGCGGGAAATGCCAGCCAACTCCATGCGGGTCCGAGCTGGCGCCCCCACCGGCTAGACCCGCCAGTGCTACAATATCTAACCTTGTACTTCTTGCCTATTACACACACGTTCTGCTCTGTCACCCCATCAGTCTCAGTACAATGCACTAACAATCTGCCCATCAACTGATTAACATTTATGCTCATTCTCACACGTTTTGATGTGGTTGGCTCATCGTATCTTCCCATTTCTCTCTCTGGCTCTTCCTGCTCAATTACATCTTTTTCCCAAAGTACACTCTCTTCATCCTCTTCTCTTTTCAACACCTTTCTCATATTTTCCTTCAGTTCTTTCAAACTCAACACCTTGCCTTCACTGGACAAATTCAACAACACCTGTTTGGCACTTTCATCTTTCAACACTCTTTTCCGATAGCGTATTTGTACTTTCATCATGGTCCATCTCTTCCATTTTGTGGATGCAAGGTTGAGGATTGTAGATTCAAAATTTTGGGTGTCCATTTCTTGTTTTTGTTTCTTTTTCGGGGGGGTGTTTTAAAGTTTTTTGACAATACCTTAAACTTTCTGAATAGCGAGGCAACAGATTTTTGTTTGGCAGCATGTGAATGAAATCATCCCCCAAACAATTTTCTCTCATTCTAAAAACAAACAAACCAAGACTCATGCCTCATATAACCTATGGTTGTGACATACATTACAAATACAAATTATACAATACAAAGACAAATAAAACATGAAACAAATCATATAGAGATGAATAGGATAAACTAAAATTTGAGTTATTTGACCAGATAGATTGAATGCAGATTTTACCGGTATTTGTATGTCTGTGAATTAAAATGCTTGATAGTAATACATGTAATAGCAATCTAATTACTGAGTTTATTCAGGAAAAGTTAAGAAAGACAACAGCAACAATAACACAAATTGACACTTTCAAAAACTGTTACATCTTGTTCTTACATGAATGAACCTGTTCAAGAATACCTAGACATTTTTCTCAGCATCTCCCTTTTTTGGTTTTCTGCTCAACCTCCTGCACCCTTCGTCAACAGCAATGACACATTTCTTGGCCCAAAAATCTTCATACTCTCTCTTTGGCACTGTTGTATATTTCCCTACTGCATCCTTNNNCACGAAAATTAGTTGTACAGAGTCCAATGCTTGTTTTTCCCTGACCTCCCTACAATTGGACTTAAACATTTCTTCCACAGAAAAAAATCTCACGCCAGAGTTAATACAAAGTTGGGAATAGAAGACCGGTTGTTGTAAATTCTCATGAGCTTCTTTTGAGGAATTAACTAATCTTCAGATCACCTACCAGTTTACCCTGGGTAAGCTGTGCAAATGTACATTTATTCTGCACAAAGTACTATGGCTGGGCGTTGCTGACGTCTTCTTTGAAGAGAAGCTGCAGAAGGTGATTGTTCTCCTCCAGAAGCTCTCTGTTACCCAAGGCCAGTCATCAAACTTTGTTGATTGTCTTTGAGCAAGTGCAGTTGCATGACTCCATGCATGCATTTAATTAAGTATAAGAGAAAGACGAATGTTTAATTGATTATCATATTAACTAGAGAAAACGTTTCCTCGGTCGTTTGTATCCAAAAATCATTTACCTTGTGTTGGTGTTCATTTGAACTTAACTTTGACATGCCCAAAATTTGTTTTCAGATTTTGGATTTATAAGTGATACATGTAGACACCTCCATGTTTGTGCACTGAATCACAGGCATTAATGCTTTTATACACAATCTTCATCAGTTGGCTGCCTTTTTGTATCATTGGTGATCCATTGAGACGTTGGTGATCCATTACAGTATCCATGTACTTACATGTATTCCTGCAGTATTTAGAATGTGCTCGGTAATTTCCCAGCAAGCATGCAAACAAAGACCAAAAAATCGAAGGCAAATACTGTTATATACCAAAAGTTGATCATGAAAATACATGCTGTCTTACAGGAATGGATGCAACCAACTCTTCAACTAATGCTATGGGGGATTACATCAAATAAATTTTCAAGGAAGTCACTGGACAAAAGAATGAACTGCTTTCCAGGCTGCACCCCATGGAGCCCTGCAGTATCTGTGCCTACAGCATGGTCTTGGGCAGGGTCTCAACATTTCTGCTTTTAAATGTGTTTTCAAATTAAATGAAGTTCATATAGTGAATATCATTGACCAGTGAGTTAGTTCTGTATAATGCATGTTAGTCAGGTCATGAAAAAGGAATGCATATATTACATATATTTTTATTTGAAATAATTAGTGATTTGACTTTGAATAGGTTGTTCGCAGTGATTTCATTCAAATCTAGCTTTTAGCTACGCCTCCAATTAAATATCCCCAGGTCAAATGGATGATTGCTGACCTTGCTTGGCACTCACCACGGGGGTTTTATCAAGGGCAGATCTGGGGAATGGGAGGGGCCAATGGGGAGCATAGCTGTCCTGAAGGGGGCAAAATATTCTTAGGTTTCCAAAAATGAGATAAAGCCAAGTCTTTAGGACCATCTCATTTTTTTCTCCCAAGTGTTTTAGGTACAAAGCCTTAAAATTTATACCCTCTTAACTATGTCAATTTCTTTATTGGTTAATTTTGTGATTTTTTGTTAATGACAAAAGGAGAAGCTGAGACCTGTAGCCCATCCTGTGTACATATACCTTGTTCACAATCATGCACAGTGGGCTTTATGCAATACTGACATGTTAACAAAGTTACTGTGTCTTAGTTCTGAATACTGCGGATGTTCATGTAGAGTGTATATGTAGACTTTGGAGAAAGCAATGACATGTTCCAAATGTTGGCTATGGCATCTTGCATACAAAGACATCCTCAGTAGTGACACAGAGAACACAGCCAAGTGAGTAGTATTGAGTTTGTGGCAATGGACATTGGGCTTCATACTTGAGCAATGATGGGGCTATGGCTACGGGTTTGTGTCTGATGACATTGGATTTCATACTTGAGTAATACTGGGGCTGTGGCTATGAGTTTGTGGCTGTGTACGTATACCAACATACTTGAATAATATTAGGGCTATGGCTTGGTACTATGGCTGACGCCT